GACTTTTAGTCTGGTGGCCAAGTTGCCCACAATTCTCATACTTCTTTTACTAGCACTTCATCGCAATTGGAAGACTCTTCAATTTGACATCTCCAATGCGTTTCTTCATGGTGATCTACCTGACGAAGTGTTTATGAAACAACCTCCCGAATTTATTGATTCTCAACTTGCATAAGGCTATCTATGGCCTCCGCCAAGCTCCTCGACAATGGTTTAATAAACTTACTCAATCCTTGCTTCAATTTGGTTTTATCTTTAGTAAGGCGGATCCTTCATTGCTTATTTATACCAAGTCTACTATTCAACTATATCTTATTATTTATGTTGATGACTTGTTGCTCACTAGTAATGATTCTCAAACTATAGAGAATCTGTTGCATATGCTTCGGTCTCAATTCTCCTTGAAACAGCTTGGATCCATAGATACCTTCTTGGGCATTCAAGTGCACTGCACTTCCAAAGCAGTAATTCTGCATCAGACCAAATATGCAACTGATATTCTTGCATCTGCCGGGTTCACAAATTCAAAACCAGTGCCGACACCCAGTACTCTTAAATCTTCCAAATTGGTTTTTGCTGCTTCTCCATTCTCCGATTCGCAGCTCTTCAGGCGATTGGTTGGTTCACTCAATTATCTAACTATCACTAGGCTTGATATTACCTATGCCGTGAATGTTGTATGTCAACATATGCACAGTCCGACAACTGTTGATTTTCTAGATCTCAAACGCATTCTTCGTTATCTTCAAGGAACCTTGTCTTTTGGCTTGCCGCTTATACCCGGTAATATGAAACTTACCACATACGTGGATGCTGATTGGGCTTCTGATTCTATGGATCGCAAATCTGTTTATGGTTTATGTTCATATCTCGGCTCCACACTTGTTTCTTGGAGCGTTAAAAAGCAAACTACGGTGGCCAAATCTTCAACTGAAGCTGAGTATCGTGCTCTATCTTCAACAACTTCTGACATAATCTGGCTTCGTCGTAGCTGAGTTTGGGCTTTCTCAAACCACTCCTACGATTATTTTCTATGACAGTGCTTCTGCTATTGCCTTAGCGCATAATCCTGTTTTTCATGCTCGTACCAAGCATATAGAAATAGATTACCATTTTATCAGTCACCATATTCAACAAGGTGTTATTGCGGTTCATCATCTTCATTCTCTTGATCAAACCGCTGATATTCTAACAAAACCTCTTTCTCCTACAAGATTTGCTCTCTCACGTGACAAACTAACCATTTGTTCCTTAAATGCTTAGTTTAAGGGGGGCTGTTAGAGTATACCCTTAGTACTTGTTACTTAACCTAGTCCACTTAATGTCAACATGAGTAAGGTAGCACTTTCTCTACCCTTCTCTGGTGTACTGCTGCGAGGGCAGACTTTAGCCGTTTCCTACAATTTTTGTCTCCTGTACTAGGCATATATACTTGCATTTATTTCACTAATACAGCAATGAGAAAATACAGCTGATTTCCCCTGAAGCTTGCCTTCTTCTCTGTTCTTGTATTTCTATTTTCCTCTTATGCAGGTTATGAAGATGGATGCTTTCAGAGGCGAAGCAATGAGCAAGCTCCCATAGTGCAAAGCACGAGCTAAAGCAGCCACGAAAAAATGGCGCGAAGACGAGGAAAAGCAAGGAAGCACAGGATAAGGGAAAAAGCAAATCCTATACAGCCTGTATTATTAAATATTATTACTTGATAATGTAATAAATTAAACTAAATTATCAATATAATATAATTTACATATTAATGATTAGTAGTATATATAATTATCATTAAATAATTAGTTTACCAAACATTTGTAATTTATTATTATTATAGTTATTAGTAGTATAATTATCATTAAATTAGTTTAATATTTAACTAATTAATCATTAGTATGAGTATTAGTGAAATAATTTATATTTTTAAAAATAATTAATTAAGTAATTAGAATTTAAAAATATAATAAGATAATTAATAATATAATGAGTTTTTTGAAATTAACTCCTAAATAATTAATTTGATAATTAGTAATAATTAAGATAATTTTTAATTATATTATTATCATTATAATATATTAAATTCAAGCTAGATTACATTTAATTTTTAAATAAACCAACTATCTTAAATCTTAAATTACTTTGCCAAACAGTTTTTCAGGATTTATAAAGATTTAGCATAGGTCACACCAAACAGCTTTCAGAATTTAACATCCTCTTGATTTATTAAATCCAAGATTGTAGGATTTACTAAATTCTACTAAAGTTAAATCCTACTTGTTTCCAAATAGCTCCTAATGTTTATGAGCTTAGATATTTTTATTAAAAAATATTCATCTACTTATGTTCTTGAAGATTTTATGTAATAACCCGTATATTTTAACTTTGCAAATTTTTTTTTCTAAAGTCAATACAAGCCGTCTTCGCCATAGCATTAATATTATAGTACTTCAATTACACAAATTTTTTCTTAAAACTAGTGAAAATCCTTAAGAAATTGGCACATGTCTGTACAAGTTAATATTTTGGGACTTTCAAGTGTCTGTTTTGCAAAATCGATTTCATCATTCTTTTAATTTTATGAATATTTTTCTATAAATTTCAAAGACCCAAATAGATTTACATGAATTTTTTATTGAAAATTGAATAAATTAAATAACCATATTAATATTATATATTATTTTATTATAAAACATCTTAAAGCATTAACATATCTTCTTAAATCCTTTGTCCCATTAATGAATTTCGGCTAACAGAGACCTGGTGAGCAAAAATAGAGAGAAAATAGAGGAGATAGAAAAGAAAAGCTCAGGTTTGGAGGCCTTGGAGTAATTTTCGTCCATTGAGCCTATTGGAGATTTGATCGTCTCACTGTTAGAAACTTTTATCCTATTTCTTATTTCAATAATTTTGTGTTTTGGATATTTTTCCAATCAAATTTGTATTTTCGTTACCGAAAAATGAGTATAATTTTATAGTGATAAAACTTTCACTGCATAACTTTTTATATTTTATAGAGCTTGAAATTACTAACTTTTTTAATATATTCTAAAAATTTTTGCAAAATGATTTTGAAAAGTATTAATTTTTGTCTACTTTCAATTTTATTTTGACATTTAAAAATAGTGTTTTAGTTCAATAAAAACTTCAAAATATTGTTTTATACGATATCTGGTAATTTGATAAATTTCTGCAAATATAAATTTTTGCTCACCATGATTTTTGTTACTTACGGTTAGGACATATTAATACTTTCTAAATTAAGCTCAATTATATTTTATTTGTTGCAATATATTGGAAATGAATATATATATGAGATTCATATTATTTTTTGTAATACTATGATAATAATGCATCAGTAAAAGATAAGTAAAGGTTGATTGACTTGTATAGGATGGTAGGTCGACATGTATTTCTTTAAATATTTGGTTTGGTGTTATCCTTGACTGATTCACGTGATACACTAATTGAGAGTTATAAGTAGATGATTAATGTGCCGACGGGTAAAGAGTGACAATTCTTTTTACTGAGCCAGCGATTTACTGATACTAATAAGATACTGAAAAATACTGTGATAGTTAGGACTTCTTACTTGTTTAGTATGACTACTAAAATGCATGTTGTTGAAACATTATTTCTATTACTATACAAATTTATTATGCTTGATGGATGATTTTGGTTAAGGAGACTAGTGAAGAGGTCATTTATTTAAGTGGGGGATATTGTGAAACCTCTTGAGTTGAATATAACTAAACTCTTAAATATTGATGTGCATTTTTGTTTTAGCAGCTGAAATTTCAATAGAAACACCAAAGTTACGCATGCTCATACAAGAGCAATTTTAGGATGGGTAACCTCCTGAAAAGTCACACTAATGGGACAAAATCGTGAGGTCATTAAGCCAATGAAGACAACATCTTGATGGTTGAGATTTTGTGCATGCTATTACATGCAAATGGTTTGATTATAATTTAAAGATGGTCCAATCATTTTTTTTTTTGAAAAGATGATTCGATGCGTATTCAAAGATAGTTCAATCATGATATATTTGAAGATTATTTGATCATGATTCGAAGATGAATTGATCGTGATTGAAATATGATTTAATAATAGTTTGAATATGATTCAAAGATTGTTCGAATATAATTCAATGATAGTTTGAAGACAATTCTAACTAATTCGTAGCAAATACTATAATGTCTAATGGTGATATGGGTTTAAGGTTTATAATACAAACATAAAATATTCAAACATAACTAACCAAATGCTTTATATTAATAATCTTGAACAAAGAAGAATGTAGAGACCATCACTTTAAAACTTTGTCGATGCCTAATCATAAAAGCTCTGCAATCACTGAATATGGAGAAGGTACTGGGTAGAGAAATGATCTAGGAGCTCCTATGGTGAAATGTTGTATAACTATCCAACAAGGGTCTCAGCTCTTATTTGTAAAAAAAAAAAAACTGAATAATTTAGTTTGAAATAAATTTTCAGATATATTTTTTGAATAAAATAAAATAAAAAAACCAACATATTAAGTGATTACAGAGCTTTGTTAAGTATTTTGAGAGAGATAAATTCAAATTTTCCTAATTCACTTACTCTCTCAAGCACTTGTAGTGAAGATTTGGGCACTTCCACTATAACAAAACTAGTATCAAAGCTGTTTTAAGTTGAGGTTTAGTTTGGGACGACTTTCTTTTTGTTTCTTAAAGCCGTTTTTTAGTAAAAAAATTAAAAAATTTGTACTAAAAAATAGCTTTAAAAAGCAGTAAAAAAAACTGTCACAAATGAAGCCTGAATCTTGGAGATGGCATCATTATAGTCCTTTGCTTGTACAATTAAATGAGTGAGAAATTTAATGGAAATAATGGCTTCAACATTTGAAAGAGTAAAATCTAAGTAAAATTTAAAATATTTGCAGCATTTATCCTCACTGTACCTCCTCATCTCCTTTATTTATATCATAACTTTTAAAAAAAATATCCATCAAATGATTTATTATAATATCATGCCAAACAACTTCACTATTTTACTGAATCAGAACATACAATATTTACTAAATCCCACATGTAGCCAAACAGCCCCTAATATTCACCAATATTAATCACAACACAGAGCAAAAGTGCCAGAACTATTATTATTGAGCTCAGAAGCTCACCAAGAAAAAAGAAATGAAATCTCTCCATAGCAACAAATGAGAAATCATGGAGCAGAAGATGCTAGTAGATACGAGTGAGATTCAGAATCATAACTAACACAATCAGTTTTTGATTCCCACTCCCTAAAATCATTCCCAAACTTACCAATATAAAATGGTTGTATATTTCTTCCTGAGCTTGCAGCCATCTCATATGGATTCTCTCCGAATCGATATGGATCTGGAACAAAGTCTGGGATTTCAGTTTCTCCTGTAAGCATTTTCAACGCAATGGACATTGAAGGCCTGTAAAGTGGTGAAGAATGTGCGCACAGAATAGCCACACTGATCATTCCCAATGCTTCATCCTGATCATATTCCACTCCCAGTCTTTTATCAACAAGAGACAGTAAGTCCCCTTCCTCTTTTGCTGCATATGCCTGTGACGACACAGTATAGATATCGATGTTTTGAGAATTGGAATGGACATCAAATCCGCGGAAGGAAAGATTCAAAGTTAGAATGCTCAACCTGATGATCCAAAATCATAGAAATTAATTTAAATTGGATCATTATTTGTATTATATTCTCTATCAATTTATAACTATTTAGAATCAATTTTGTATGATGGAGGGATTAAATTTGAGAAATGTGATCATCTAATACTAAATTGGCCACATATGAATGATAAAATGACTATTTTGAGCTTTTTCTACCTGTCAATTTCTCAAAAAACATTACAAATCTAACATCATCTCTTCATTGTAATTTCTAATCAAACTGATTCTACTGCTCCTAGTTATAAAGATTGACTGATTGAGAGGTTTAAGTACAGGTTGATCTCACTTCCGCGTAAATCTGATTAGTAATTGAACTAAAAATTGATGTGAGGATTAGTTCGACGATCAATTTGATTCAGTTTTTACAATAATGATTAATAATAGAACAAGAAATGTAGAAAGTAGCTGAAAAATGCTTGGTATTGCAAGTTTACCATATCTAAAAGATGATATTTTTCCTTATTTATATAGCCGGAGACGTATTTTCCAGTTATAATCTCTAAAGTAACAATACCGAAGCTGTAGACATCCGCCTTTTCTGTCAAGTATCCTCGTGTTGCATATTCAGGTGCCATATATCCACTGCCAAAACATTGAATGCAATTATTAACTCTTTCAAATTGAAGTTTAAACATACGAACATTTTATCATCTATGAATAATGATAAAATCTTATTAAAGATGAAGACAACCAAAAAATTCAAAAATAAATAAAAATAATAATAAACGTGAGTTGTAACAACAACAACAATAATAATATCAAACCTTTATCTCACTAAGTTGGGTTGGCTGCATGAAATATTAAATGTGTTTAAAAAATGAAATATATTTAAAAAGTATAATGAATTGAGCTATGAAGTATATCACATATTGATTTAAAAGTAGTAAATTTAAGTTGGCTCCTAAAAAAATGCATGAAGAGGAAACTAAATACCCCTTGGGATTCATACATAAGATAATGGAATGTTAAGTTTATCAGATAGAATTTTAAAGATCAAGATTAATTTGTCATGAAAAATTCTGTTGTTCGAATATGAATCATGAGGCATATTTGAAATGAAAACTCCCAAAAAAAAGTTAAGAATCACCCAAGCTTTGATTTTGGAAAACTTATAGTCAAACTAAATGTCTCGAATAGACAAACCCAACGACACAAAAAATGATTCAATCCGAGCTCGAATAAGCCCAATCAAAAAGACTAAGATGTATTTGAAAACTTCAGAATATTAATTGGATGACCAAATGATATCCAAAATAAACATACTTATAATTAAATCGTAGAGCTCGACAGTATGAATCTAAAGAGCCCAAATCACTAATTTCTAACATCATTAAGACACGCAAATGTTGAATGAATACTTTATTATCAAGGGAATCAATAAGGGTTGTCCAATGGAATGTTTGGATTTTAGCCAAATTTATGTAGCATGCTTCTCTCAAAAATCTGTAAATAGGCCCCCACTCTTTACAAGATGGGGAGCTTTAGGAGGAGCTTGGAGCGGGAGCCCAAATTCCCTCTTGGGATTAGAGAGAGCTCTGACACTCTAAGGATCCTGTAGCATCACACGCCTAACCATCGCTATCAGGACTTCGTCGGCCGGCCACTGTCACTCAATTACAGTCCTCAGACCATCGTCACCCGACTATGGTCTTTTGATCACTTTCGTTGACTACAGTCACTCCGATCTCTATCACCTGCCGACTATGGGTCATCCAACCAGCGTCGCTCACTAACTACGATCAACGAACCACCATTTTCAAACTATAATCTTTCAACCACTATTTCTCGAATATGATTCTCGGACCACCTTCACCCAATTTTAGTTTTCTAACCATGACTATGGTCATCTGACCATCACCGCTCGCCAACTACAAGTCTCAAACCGCTGTCACCAGAATATGATCTTTTGACCACAGTCACCTGATAATAATTCTCGAACCACTTTTGCCTAACTACGGTCCTCCGTCCACCATCGTCAAACTTCGGTCCTTCTGACCTCCGTTGACCATCGACTACAGTCCTGCCATTCGTCGCCCGCCGACTATGATCCTCCGACCATTATCATCCGTCAACTTGGATCATCAGATCACCATTGCCCAACTACTGTCTTCCAATCACAATCGCTCGACTATAGTCCGCCGACCATCGTTGCTTGACTATGATCCTCGGACTACCATTGCCCAACTACGATTTTCTAACCACTGTAGCCTGATTATATTACTTGAACCATCGTCGTCCAACTACAATCCCGTGACAATCATTACCCAACTAGCTCTTTTGACCATTGTCGCCTAACTAAGGTCCTTCCAACCTCATCACCCACCAATTACAATCCTCTGACCTATATTGCCCACCAACTAGGATCCTCAGAACACTGTCGCCCACTGACTATGATCCTCGAACCATCGTGCCTGATTAAGACCTCATGGTTTTTTCCTTTGTAATGGTTTTGAAGTAAAAACTATGGTGTCTCTTACAATTTTAGCACTCTTCTCTTATCTCTGTGTTGTTGTATTTTCGTGCAAAACTAAAATGTTAAACTCTATATCTCTTTGCTGCAAAAAATATCACCACACACAACCAAAATATAACAAATAAATTGAGATAAGTATTTTTTAATAAGATTAAAGATGAAGGAGATGATTAGAATTGTGGTAATTGAATGACAATAAAACTCATAAGATATTTAATATAAATAGTAATGGAATGTATACTAAGAAAATCATGCCAAAAACAGCAAATTAATTTGAGTTTATGTTAGGAAGATTCTATTGAAAGTTTTTCATGCTAAGGTAATTAATGGAACAAAAGAGCAAAATAAATCTTCATATGCTTCTTATTAAATTTGAGAGGACATGATAGAGATCACGAAGCTGCTTTAAAGCATAATAAGAGAAAAAAATAGCATAAAAACATGTTAAAGTTATCAAAATATATTTGGAAGAGTATTGATCAGCTTTCAAAGTAATTATAGAATGATTAATGAATTTACAATTGTTATAAGATTTCTTTGTGCCATTAAATTTACTCCCAACCTGCTTTAAATGGAACCAACAAAGACATCGTAGTTGCCACAAGACATTTATTGTGAAAATCTCTTAAGAAAATAAAGTTGAACTCTTAAACAGGTTGGAATCTCGATAACATTGGAATCTCGGTAGAAATTCCAAAGTTATGTGCGCTCATAGAAGAATAGTATTAGGATGGATGACCTCCTAGAAAGAACACAAAGAGGACAACCCGTGAGGCTATTAAGCCAAACTAACAATATCTTGATGGTTAAGAGTTTGAATTGTTACAAATGGTATCATAGCAACACACCAGCTTAAAGATGAGAATTAACTGTTCCTATCTACTTGTTGGATGATTCTGACAAGGATTTTAGTTATCTAACTGGGTGAGATTGTGAAAATCCCTTAAGAGAATAAAGTTGAACTCTTAAACATCAAGACGCATTTTGGTGTAACGGTTAGAATTTCAGTAGAAACTCAAAGTTAAGCGTATTTGTACAAGAGCAGCCTTAGGATGGGTAATCTCTTGGAAAATTACATCAACGGGACAAAATTGTAAGGTTATTAGGCCAAAATAGACTATATCTCAATAATTGAGAGTTTGGCTTATTACATTTACAAGGTCAAATATTGATGCAAACAATACATTAATATTAATTTAGAGGAAAAAAAAAAGACTAAAATTACTTACATTGTTCCAACAATTCGGGTGCTAATATGGGTGTTTCCCTTCTCATCAAGCTTTGCCAATCCAAAATCTGATATTTTCGGGTTAAGATCAATGTCTAACAACACATTTGTAGCTTTTATGTCTCTATGAACAATCTTTATCATTGACTCTTCGTGCAAGTAAGTAAGACCTTTTGCTATGCCAACACAAATCTTGTGCCTGGTGGACCAATCTAGCTTCAACTGACATTGCTTTGGCCCTACAACATCAGTAACAACATTAAATGATTCACTAACCAACATACGAATGAGATAAAAGAATGAAGAACTGAATTAAAGATGATAGTAACAACAACAACAACAATAACCAGCCTTTATCCCACTATTTGGGATGAATTAAAGATAATAATGGAAATACACTAACAGAATTATAGAATAGTTTGAACACAACAATTAAATGCTTCATACTAAACACGCAATTGATCACTCTTACCATAAAGAGCACGTGCAAGGCTATTATTTTCCATATATTCATATACCAACAATAACTGATTTCCTTCAACGCAACATCCATAAAGCTTTACAAGATTTGGATGTTGTAATGCAGAAATCATGCCTATCTCATTTATAAATTCATGATTTCCTTGACTAGAATTTGCAGAAAGCTGCTTCACAGCTATTACAGTTCCATCTGGTAGCCGGCCCTGAATTAGAAAAAGAATTTACGATAAATATGCACATCTCAACTTTAAACTTAACAAAAAGAGAAAAAACAGAAGTTTGCACAAACCTTGTACACCGATCCAAAACCACCTTCCCCGATCTTGTTAGAAGAACTGAAGTTGCTCGTAGCAGTTAAAATTTGTCTTAGAGAAAAGGAGACAGTTTCCAGACCCCTCAGATCTGTCCAAAGTACAGAAGGTCATCCTGATGAAGCTAGCAGTTTGTCTCAGGAAATTGATGAAATATTCAATTAAACTAGCTATGCTCGGATGTTTCCTGTCTAACTTAAATGTAGTGTGCCAGATACTGCAGACGCTGTATTGAAAATGTTTGACAAGAAATTTGAAAAATAATACTGGGAACTAGATTCTCTCCATTATCATTATAACCGTGCAGTGAAACCACCATTGTAAAACCATGCAAAGCTATTTTGATCAACCGTGCTTTATACCATTAAGAATAGAGTGTGTTAAAGCACATGCACCTTTGGGTTTAATCCCATTAATATAGTTTAAATATGTTAGTTTGATCCCCCAATGATTTCCAGTAGAAAACATATTTAATCACTGCCATATCTAATCCTACTTTGATCCCCCAATGATTATTACCCTAATCAATAGTATCCAAGCCATACTTGGCTATGATTAAGTTAGATAAATTTGTGGCTTCCTTGGGTCTCTGCCCCTCTATCATAAATGCACAATGTTCAAATGAGAATGAATTATGATGGATTTACGTGGTTGAAAGGGATGCTAGTGCATGCTACTTGATAATAATCATATTTTAGGGAGAAAAATGGCCAATGCGATTATCATAATCTAATTTACAGCAGTTTAAAATTTGATTATTGACTCATCTTCATTATGTGCCTAATCCTAATCATTTAGTGCCGGCTTAAATGGGTGAAATAAAAGATTATAAATCAATTCCATATGGAGATTAAATGTAGAATACCAGTGTCAATTGCTTCCTTGCACCTGAAATAGCCTTTCTTCCAAGCAACAAATATAAGAAGAATTGCAGCAGATATTGCCGCAGAAGTGATTCCGATCAAAAACCATTTGCTTTTACTCGGAGGTTCGAAAGCTGAAAGAAAAGAAGAAAATGACGATGAAACAGTAATATATGGATAACCAATCATCAACAGCACGAACAGATTCTCTCACAGATTAATTTTCTTAAGTTCGATAATTTGGATACAGAACGCATAAAAAAATGACTAAATGAGCACAAAATACAACTCAACCTAAAGACCAATTCTATCATATGAATTGCAAAAGTAAGAAACTCAAAAAGCTTCAAATGGATTTTGATCTTAAAAAGATGAAAGTAGAGTACCGTAAAAAAGCTTCAAATGAAAAATTGCATCAAGGTAAACTACACCATAAGAGAATATCATGGCGATTTAAAAGAAAAAATTGTAAACCCCAATTAGACTGATTATGCTTTATGAATTTTGTATTGACATTAATTATGCCTTAGGCAATCAAGTTGAACATAAAGAAAAGAAAAGGTTAAGATGAATAAGTGGTAAAAGTAAAATCAGGAATGGGTAAAGATTAGGTAACGAATTTTTTACTTAGGCTTCGTTTGGAACGGCTTTTTTATTGTTTCTTAAAACATCTTTTTAGTTTAAAAAATAAAATTTTTATACTAAAAAATTGCTTTAAGAAACAGTAAAAAAGCTGTCCCAAAGAAAGCCTTAATGATTTGGGATGCACAAAGAAGGGAAAAAGAGACGAAAAAGGGGTGCATGAAAGATAGCATTGCTAGGAATTGGGCAAAAAAGCAAGTTAACATTTCATGTCATCTATTTGCACTGTAAACCAAAATTTTAAAAAAGGGTTCGGTGATATCTTGAGCCGAAATTAATCTGAACAATGATTCACCAAAAGATATGGCTAACAACAGAAAAAATGGCATATTTGGCTCTTCAGACTGAAATAGATAGAAAAGAAGCATTTCATAAGCTGAACATACCTGACTCGACGGATATAGCTGATATGAGAGGACCATACGATCCACTCATAGGAACAGTAGTTGTTCCTCTTCCAGCCCAATGGAATCGAATCTCCAATGTCTTCCTTGTAACAACTGCAGGAAATGTTTTAACAATAGCCTTTTCTGAACCATTAGCTTCATCTCTGATATTGAAATCCTTCAAGACTAGTTCCCCCTTAAACAAACAAATAAAATAATATATAACGAATTAACTGTTTAGACAGACGGATAGTTTTTAATTCTTCAAGACAAGTTCCTCCTACCTGTATGTAAACATCGAAGATTCGTCTTCCAGGGCTAGGATGTCCATTATAATCACTGAATATTATCTCAGAGAAGTGTAGCTTAACACTATAATTCCCATTTGACAAACAAAGCCCAAAATAGGTGAGAGATAAGGGTGTGATTCGTGCATTTTTATATAATTCAAAGTTTGGCATGGAGAGTTTGTTCTTAGCGGTAGCTATGAAGTTGTTCTTATCACTAGAATCCAGGAAAGAGCCAGTGCTACTAACAGCCCAGTTGGTACCCAAGCGAAATGTTGAAACACCATTATTAACGCTATCTTGCTCGTAAGTCTTGTGATTGATAGTCACTTCCTCACCTCCACAATTTATGTAAATGGCTGAATTCTCTGTTGCAAAAGAGAGAACTATCTGAACATCAATATTTCAATAAAAATGCAAGAATGCTATGTTTTTTTATGGAAAAGAAATGAAAACACACCTCTTGCAAGGATGGCTTAATGCCAAGCTACTCAGATAGAAGAAAGATAGATTTAGCACATATATCATTCACTATGAGAGGAAATGTAATACCAAGTGTAGCAGTCCGCAGTTGTACCAATTCCGACCCGATCTGATAAGGATAACTCACTAAAATTTTTGCATTTGCACATTTGCATATGTCTATGAGTACTATGTATGTATGTGAGTGTCTGAATCTGTTTTGATACGGATCCCGAGGATTTGTGTGCATGAATAAAAAATATAAAATTTTTCCATAGGAGCGTCGCGACCAAGGTTTTGAAAACCGGACCGGACAATGAACCGGAAAAATAACATGTTCACGGTTCGACTGATTCGACTGGTCGAACCGGATGACGTAATAAATAATAATATTATTAAAGCAAATATAAAATAAATGATAAATTTTCTTCTAATGCATTCATTCTACATTCCATTTTCATATCAAACTAATCTAATAACATAAATATGACATAATTAAGTTTATAAAATAAAAATAAATAACACATAATATAAATGTCGCATCAAATAAGTCAATAAAATATAAACAAATGCATAACTTTTGGCATCAAACAAAATTAGAATCAATAGTTTATAATTTCATATCAAGTAAAACTTTCAACATAAATATGCAAATAAATCTAGAAGTCATCTCCTAGATTTGAAGTATCAAAAGTTATATCGCTAAATCCTTGTTCATCAAAACATTTCCCTCCAAATGCATCAATATCATCATTGCCAATTATTTCAGGGTCATTTCCATCCTCATCCAGGACATCATCATCTGCATATTAGAAATATAAAATATTATATATATATATATATATATATATATATATATATATTAAACATCTCTTTCAAATGATCTAACTTAAATCAATTAAGAACTTTGAGGTTCTTCGGCAAGAGGAATAACATCTTCTGCATAAATTTCAGTTTATAAATTCTCCAAAATAAGTTCTGAAACTGATTCTTCATCAAGCACCCAAAAATCTACAATCTCTATGCTTGTATAATCCAAAGGATCATAGTTTCTTCTTCTTTTTTTTTTTGAAATCTAAACATAATTCAAAGATCATTAAGTCATACAATCATACATAAATGACATCTCTATACTTGTATACACCCAAAAATATTTATATATAATTAAAAGTCATATAGTCATACCTATGCCTCAAATTGAGGTTGTACCGAACAAATACAAAATCTTTAAGCCTTTGATGCTCTAAATGATTTATTCTCTTTGTATGAATTTGTTCAAATACACTCCAATTTCTTTCACATCCAGAAGATCAAGATGTTTGGCTAAGAATTCTAACAGCTAATTTCTGCAAATTTGGTGCACTTAATCCGAACATCTTCCACCATTCGTCTACAAACAAATAAATATTAGTTAATTAATATCTAATATGCATGAAAGAAGAAATGCATACTAAAATATTTGTTTCACTTACCAGGCTGCATTTCTGTGGCCATCGTTAGTGCAATTGGTTTGTCAAAGCTTTCCAAATTGTCACGAAAAAGCCTAACTTCATTCATTGTTGCTGATAGTTTAGGACATACATCTTTGTTTCCAATCAAATCAATTAAACCTTGCATCACTTCAGGTTTGTGGCAAAAAAAAAATTTTATCATATTGAAAATGTGAATTAAGAAAGTAGGCTGCACAATGTATGTCTTGTCTTAACTGACCATCCCATCTCCTCTTTATAATGATTGTGTACGGTTTGTACATCCTTTTGACATTTCTAAACATTAACTTAATTGCTCTCCTTGTTCTGTACATCCCATCATAAAGAAATTCTAGAGATGGTTTTTCATCAAAATCAACAATTCTCAACAGCCGAATTAAAGACAGATAATTTGGAAGTTACCAAGCAGTCATTCCAAAATTTATTATCTAAAATGATAGATGAAACTTCTTGCCATTTTATTAAGAGTTTTATGAAGGGAGAGGGGCAAGAGGTGAGCCAAGAGATCACCAAGGCCAAGGTCTAGCAAGCATCATATCGAATTATAGAATTGCTGATTATAACAATTAAATGAAAGACCTGTAATTCCAGCAAATCTGCATGTGTGTTACACATATATACATTCATCTATGAGCCACTTCGTTTAATGAAATGAGCTTGAGTTACAAAAAAACTGAAAACCATTCTGGAGTAAAAAAAAAAAGCCAGTTTCAAAGATAAAAAATCATCATACAAAGCTGGTTTAATGGAACCTAACAGACATCTCTGCCGACTACCAAATGCAAAGAGGAGAAATTGAAAAACTTATTGTGGGTAGGAGAGGAGATCTTGACCAAGAGAAGGAAGCCTTCAGTCGCTTTAGCGCTTCGCAAATCGCAATGCAGCAAGCAGCAGCAGCTGCCGACGGCAAGATGAGAGGAGTCCCGAATCGTGAAGGGCTGGAGGCGAACCACGAACAAATGATGAAATGAATGAATAGTAGGGTTTCTCTGTTTCTATTTTTTTAATTATTAGCTTCCCTTCATCCCAGCCATTAGATTAAATCGAACGCCTCAAAAGCTTCACAGTTCGAACCGGCCAGTTATTTTGAACGGGTCCCGGTTTGCTGATTCGACGAACGGCCCGAGACCGGTTCTCTATGGAGGCAGTTTTTAACCAGCCCGTAACCGGCCGGTTGGTTCACAGTTCAACCAGTTGAATCGGCCAGCTCGGTCTAGTTTTAAAATCCATGGTCACGACGTCAGGTAGGTTACACTACTGTATTAAGCTCTCTGTCTTTTTGCAAAATAATTAAAAATTATTGTGCTACGACGTTGGGGGCATCATTGCGAAGCTGTAGGGACGAGCATCACGTTGTTCGCCCTAAATCTTATAAAAATATCATTTTCCATTCAAAATGTATTTAAGCAAAAATAATTTCTCCCCCTAAGAGTAGCCAATTAAACAGAGAGAGAAAGATGTGTTTTGTCACTGTGGTGACAATCAATGAGTAAGAAAAAGAGAAAAGTAATAACCCTGAAAGACTCAGCAACAACCATCAAAGGCCAACACAGAGAGGATGGAATGAAGCACCAAGAGGGGAAGATCCCATGCTCGAGGATGAGCTCCCCATGCATGCAAGTAGCAAGTGAAAATGCATGAGCGTGATGAAGTGTTGCCAAGCACTGAGGGGTGCGATGAAAGGGAGAGAAAGCACTAAAAAAATCCCTTAAACACATGAGTGGTAGACTTCGGGGTGTCAATAAATGGCCTGACCCGCCAAATTGACTCGGACTTGGCCCAAAAATCAAGATTTAGGTTGACCTATTTAATAAATTGGCCAGATTCAGGTCATGCATTCCAACCTGTTTATTAAACGAATTACGTTCAAGTTGACCCACTAACTCAATTTTGATCCGAAAAAGACCCATTTAATATTTTGCCTTAAAAATTTTATTTGTTGGTAGAATCTTCTCATTTTTTATCAATTAACCTAAAATCAATAATTAATAAGTTAATAAAAATATTTTTTAATTAAAATGGATTATCATGTAAAATTAGGATTGCTAACAGGTCGGGTTCAGTTCCACCTTTTTGCTAAGCTTTTCAATGAATATTGTGAAAATACGTTTGACTTTAGTGCCCTTAACACTCTAAATAAAAATAGAAATTCTTATTTTTATCGGCATATTACTAAAACTGAAGTTAGAGAGGCTTTAAAGAAAATGAAGTGTGGGATAACTGTTGGACCTGATGATATTTCAATAGAGGTGTGAAAATGCTTAGGAGATGAAGGAATTTCTTTGCTAACTAAATTTTTTATATTATTTTGAAGATTACAAAGATGTGAGATATGTGGAGAATGAGTTTGTTGATTCCTATCTTTAAGAATAAAGGTGATGCACAAGATTGTGCAAATTATAAAGGAATTAAGTTGATGTGACATACTTTAAAACTATGGAAGAGAGTTATGAAGCATAGGTTATGACGTGTTACTAATGTTGCTCAAAATCAATTTGGATTCATGCCGGGTAGGTCTACTATTGAAGCCATACATTTATTGAGAGGTTTGATGGAGAAGTATACAGAAAAAAAAGAAGATCTTCATATGATATTTATTGATTTAGAGAAAGCATATGATAAAGTTCCAAGAGAAGTGCTATGGAGAATTCTAAAAAAGAAATGGATTAATAATGCTTATATTCAAGTCATTAGAGATATGTATGCTGGAGCTATTACTTGTGTTCAAACACAAGGTGGTTTGACCAAGTATTTTCCAATTTTAGTTGGATTACATTAAGGATCAACCTTAAGCCCATATCTTTTTGCTTTAGTCATGGATGTTCTTATTAGAGATTTGCAAGAGTATGTTCCATGGTGTATGTTTTTTGCTGACGATATTCTTCCTGTTGATAAGACTAAAGAGGGAGCATAAGGTAAACTTAAATTATAGAGGTCAACTTTAGAATCTAAAGGTTTTTGTTTGATTAGATCTAAAATCGAATACATAGAGTGTAATTTTAGTAGTAATAGATCTAGTGGGGCGTTTATGACTTTGAGCGATCAAGTCATTAATAAAAGTACACCTTTTAGATATATTGGGTCTATTGTTCAAAATGATGGTGAAATATATGGAGATATTATTAATAGAATTCAAGTTGAATGGATGAAGTGGGGGAATGCATCGGGCTTGTGTGATAGAAAAGCAACACTCAAACTTAAGGAAAAATTCTATAAGATGGTGGTTAGACTTGCAATGCTTTATGGCGCAGAATGTTAGCCATTAAAAGAGAAGCATAATATTAAGTTAAGTGTTGCAGAGATGAGGATGCTCAAATGGATGAGTGGCTTTAATCTTAGAGACATGATACAAAATGAGCATATACGTGAAAAGGTTGGAGTAGCTCCAGTGGCAGATAAGATAGAGGGAGTCGTCTTAGATGGTTTGATAACATAAAGCAGCGGGCCTTTCGATGACCAGGTTAGGAGAGTAGATGTATTAGATTTAACCTATGTTAAGAAAGATAGAGGTAGACCTTAAAAAGTCTTGGTTAGATAATATTAGAAATTACCTTTTCTTTATTAAATCTAAATGATAATTTGACTCTTAACCAAATAATGGAAAAAAAAGATTCATATAGCCAATCCCATGTAGTGGGAAAGAGGCTTGATGTTGTTGTTGTTGTTTTGTATTGAAAGGGTCCGGCTCAAGTTGATCACATTTGGGTTGAACCTGAACCCGACCTGTTGACCCAATATAACACCCTTAAATAGATTCATATGATTGAATGTGAGTGTGGTGAAGCACCACCAAGCATTTAGGTAACTTTCGGCATGTCTAAGCCAACTGAAAAATTAAATTACATAAGGTTAGGGTTCGACCACGCTTATTTTGGAAGGAGAGTGATACCACATGTGAACACATTGCTTCATAAAGAAGGGAGGGCCCATTCACGCGTTTAATGTAAAGTAGAGTGGTCCTTTAATTAAGTGCATGCTGAATTTGCTGATGAGCCTAGAATTTGACTTTTGATTCAAGGTCTTCATGGTTTGATCTTGATCATCACATACATTTTAATTGAAAGAGGCAGCCGGCCATTCAAGTAAGGCATCAAAATTCAACTCTCCACTATGTCCACATATTTGAACTTCATGTAGTTAGTTATCATGTGCATGCCTAATATTTAATTCTTGTGCTCCATCACTCCCCAAGTTTACCTTTTTATTGTTGATTAGCCATAAAGATAATTAGAAATTTGGACAAAGAGTATGAACTTCTTTGGCTATGAATAATCAGAGTTCAATCCATCAACGAGAGTAGGAAACTTTCCCAAATATAGGATTAAATTGTTGTGCTAGTAACAATCAAAAGCCCATAGAGATATGTTATGTCATTCATAGTGATTATTTTTTCCTACACGCACATGATTAAAGAAAAAAGCCGATTTTTCCTAGAGAAATATTTTCTCCGTAACACATTCTGTACTCATGTGAGTAACTAGGATCCATACTAAACCAAGATTCTCTTAGTTGAAGGATATTTTGGTCTGATTGATCAAAGATGAGACACCTAATCTTTGAAGTTGGTTTTGGACCATTTTGCCTTTTGTGGTGATGGATAAATGGATGAAGCCTTCAGGCTTTGTGTGCATTGATGGGGATTGGAATCTAGCAGTTAAATAGTTTAAGATTGTTGTTGGGTATACTTTGAGCCATACCATTAGATCTTGATTAATGTGACAAGATTTGTGCCAAATTTTATTATCTTATGGAAGGGCCTACACATTCTAAAGAACTTGGTTACAATTTCTATTACTGAAAAATGTTATGCTGATTTGATAAAAACAAACTGAACCACAAACTAAAGAACTTGGTTACAATTTAGATTACAGGAAAATGTTATGCTGGGTAAAAACATTTTATAGGCGAATAAAGTCATTATTAAATTACAAAAAACAGTATGAACTCTAAGTTCAAAAATGCTTTCTTACCTCCATTGCAGGGAATGGTCTCCAAACATGGCACACCCTCACTTCTAATGAATATTGCAATAAAAGAAATTTTTCAAATAAGATATCAGGCATAAGTGTTCTAAAAGGTACGCTTAAAAACCCCAAAGCATCTTAAAAACAAAATAAAGCTATGTATTGGTTGAACTGGAAGCTCTTACTGATCATCGTCTTTGTGTAAATTCCCCAGTAAGTTGCTGAAGTGAAACAAAGCAAAAGTTGTGGAATTGTTAAATAACATGAACAAACAAAAATGTGGGCAAAATTTTTGATTTAAAAAAAAAAATAATTCAAGCTTACATGTTATTTAGTTGGCATGTTTTACCATTGCCGCCTTCGAAAGTGTAGTTGTTATAAGAAAGATCACTGCAAGTCAAAATACAGAAAGAGAGATCTGTTGAAATAGATATTTCAAAACTTCTAATGTTTGTAGAGATTGTGATCAAGTTTTTTTTTTTTTTGACAGACTATCAAAGCCTGGCGATGAAAATTGGGAGGACCAGCCGCAGCTTCAACATCAATCTAAAATTTAAAATCTCATTTGAATTTATTTATTAGTTTTTAAATTTAATTAAGTTTTATTTAATCGAGCCATATATTTTAAATTTTATTGTTCAATATTCAAAAATATATATTATAATATATATAATATTGCTTATTGTACATATTGATTTTTTTTTTGCTCGTTTGACTCATAGTTGGCAACTTCGTTTTGTTTGAATTTGTTAATTTATTTTGTTGGAAAAAGACAAAATAATATCAAGAAGTTGAGGAAAATGACAATATATTATAGTTAAAGCAAAATAAAAATTATATATATTTATTTTTGGTCATTAATGTTTAAAAAACAATAAAATTTTAATTATATTGACTAGTTCAAATTTGAATTTACAAAGGTCTGTCCTTTTCAATAACTAGAAAGAAAAAAGTATAATGCTAGAATTCAAACTTTGGAAAAAAGCCTCTTGAGGTTGTAATTGATGGTGTTGAGGATTAATAGAGTCAATGCATGATGAAACGCTTCAATCGATGATATAGACAAAGGGCAACGGCAAGCATCAAGGGTTGGATGCCGATTAATGCCGTGTGAAGTTGGTTAGAAAATATTTGATGATGTGGGTCGACGAGTGTCAAGAAGGGAGAAGGTGGTCATTAGGATGGACACAGGTGAACATAAATGGTTGAAGCCATTAGATACTAATTAAAGATGATCATTGTAAGAAACCATACAATGTAGGGTTGTTCATACTTTAATAAATATATCCTACTAGATTGATTAGTAGATTATTCTCACAGGTGTAGATTAATCTATAATATATATTTTTTGGGTTCAATATTTATTTCTTTACTAGCAGTTTTTTATTTAGACGTTGGTGTTGGGCATTGATTTAATTTTAACCCCTCATCTCCTCTTCATTCTCCATGTATTATACTAACATCATACTCTCTACAGATATATATATATATATATATATAAACTCTAGATTTCCATGTTGAAATTTGAATAGGCCGACGAATTAGTGTCTAACTGATCTAATTCTTTGGTTTTTGTTGTGTAATGGAGCATTCATGACATTAGATGGAGTTCATCGCCTTACTATTGAATACAAATCTAACACGTACAAATAAGATAAGCTGGAATAGATCATAGAAGACAATAATTTTTTATATGAAAAATCTGGGTAGGGGGAAATCATAGGCTTGGAACACTTGAAATAATTTCATAGGTGTGAGTTATATATTTCAAAAGATTATGTTCCACACAACCGGAGAAAACATTGATACAACGCAATAGACAAAATATAGAAGATGGCTTCTATGATAGTAATAAAAGGAGTCTTCAAGTGTTAGTTATCATCAAGAGATCATTAGTGGTATGCTCGTGTTCTACTTATTAGAGGGGAGATTAGCAACTAAGAAGATAGACCTTGGCCATGATGGTAATGATGGACATCAGCCTTGGTGGTGATTGCAGGCGTCGACCTTTTAGGTAATGGCAAAGGCAAGCATCGGTCTTGTTGGCAGTGGCAAGTTTTAACCTTGTTGGTGATAGTAAATAGCTAAAACATTGGCGATGTTGGGCACTGGTGTTGGTGGCAATGACGAGCGTCAATGTTAGTGGCAATGGCATGCATTTGGATTTGCAATGAAGACAAGTGTCGGCATTGGTGGTTATGATGAGCGTCAATGGATGGGAAATGTCACAATCCGGCAAATAGGCTTGAATTAATGATGCAAGAATAGACGGTTAAACTATTATTTAAAATTTCTAGAAACAAATTATTTCCAATACAAAAAAAGAGCCACCATGCACAAACTTCAAATTTTTTCGATGATGTCCGTGTTGACCTAAAATCTCAACTAGAGGGGATCCTATTTTCAAAATACTCAAACCCCAAAGCAAAATACAAATCTATTAAAGTGATTTGATGCCATCCCGATGATGGCCATGTTAAAAGTGAATCTCAACCGATGGGGTCAATATTCAAATTACATTAAAATTTTAAAATATAATACATGTTAAATTCTAAATATTTAAATAGAAATTTAATCACCAAAAACTTAAAACTAAAATTCATCCACACTTAACAATAGTTTGGCGAGGATTATGAATTAAAGAATAACTTTAGCTCACAAAGAGTAGATGTTTTGCTGAGTGTATGACTACAATTCATTCTCAATTGATTCATCACCAATAGATGCATGGCACATGCTCAATGACCAGGTGATCTTGCTACAATATGACACAAATATATTACGGTCATGGCTAAAGCCAGTATGTTCCCTTACGGTTAAAAGCTCATTGAGTAATGAATCATAGGGTGCTCTTAACAAGATATAAAACCCTCTATTAGCTAAGGTTAACTTAAATTCATCACCTTAGACAAACATCCACGTCGAGTATACAAAGTATTCTTGGACGAAAAAACCTATGGCTGCCGAAAAGGCTCCTTCTGTGAGGTTGGGTCGACTACCTCCTTTAAATAAGTAAACCAAGAACCATGATAACCCGGAACGATGGAACCATGAGATTTTGATCGGGCTGATCTTCATTCCCCCATCACCCATTTTAAATATACAGTGATAAATTTTAAATCATAAACACCAAAATTCAAAATTAAAAAACCCTAAAATTGTTATTATTATACATTGGGTAATTATTATAACCAATTTAACAACTAGCCTTAATCAAAAGTTATCTCTCATTATCAGGAGGGTAATCAACCATAGGTCTTATGCCTATGGGAAACTATAACTCATATCATAAAGTCCTCACAAAATGAGGACAAAATAGTGTCTTATCTAAAACTCAATTTGCCTTATGAAAATTTACCTCGGAAACTAAATATGTTAAAACTCTCCCCGTCAAAGAAAGCAGGCGAAGAGAGGCTGAGGCATGAATTTTCGGAGCCCACACGCCAGCCATTGGAGTTGATGGTGAGTGTTAGCCTTGATGGAAACAACGTGTTTCAACCTTGGTGATTATGGCAGGCGTCAGTCTTAGTGATAATAGCAAACGTCAACCTTATTTGTGATGGCAAGCATAAGCTTTATAAGTAATGATAATTGTCAATGTTAGTGATGACTAACATTGACAATTATCTCCACTTCAAGGAATCCTGCTCAATGGTGGGTGTTGGGTGCTAGCAAGTAGAGCTTAGGATTCTCTCCACTTCAAGGAATCCTGCTCATGACCTCCTTCAACCTTCTTCTAGCCTTTTCTCGAATGTGTAGAAGTATGGCTTATTTATAAATTTTTTGGTGGGGACTATTCTAGTCATTTCACTATAAAATAAAACTCTATCATATGATCTGTGCTAATTCTCTTTAATCATATACTATTTAGGCACCTTAACTCAATAATAACAAAATTCAATCATCTTAAGCTCCAGCCAACCATAGACAAGAGCTTCATCTCGTCATATTTGTCCCACTAAGACATTCATTTTAACTATAAATTTATTGAAAATGAACTTTGGATGGTCCTAAAGTTTATTTCTAAAATTTTTTATTTAAATACTTGGATGCCTTAAGATTTGTAATTTTGCATTAAGATTCATATTGATAAGATGAATTTTTTGGTGAAATCTCACTTTACTTCTTTATTTTCGCCATTTTCTCTAGCTTTTTCAGTTTTCAATGTGTTCTCTGATTTGACATTAGTTGGCAAATTGATTTTCATCAACTTAAACACAAAAGAAGATACTAATAAAAAATAAGCTTGAATGAACTGTGAGAAGTGGGGGCAATCTCAACTGGAGTGGATTTGCTTATGTGATTGTTTGCATTTTTTACCTTTGTTCTTTCTTGATTTGTAAATAATAAAATGGTTTTATTTTGTATAAAGCATTAGATCGGAATATCACCCTGCTTCATTAGGCGTAGTAAAGTGCACTTTTTCCAAAACAAAATTATAAGGAAGAATGAACTAATCCTATTTTTTTGAATTAAGCTCCTCATTGAAAATATCTCAATGTTAAGAAAGGACGGTGAGTGATTAAAATGAACAATCACTATGAATTTGGTAAAACAATCATACATATCGTTTTTGTCATTAAGTATCCAATCAGGAACAGAGCCGGACATATTATTGCTGGTTAGAAATCTGCAAAGCAAAGCGCTGTCATTACTCAAGGAAAAATTACTTATAAACTCATGATGTTTAAATTCAAACAGTAAATATGGCTTACATGAAGTCGACGTGATTCAAGCTTCCAAAGGTTGATAGAATTATCCCAGATAACATGTTGTAGCTCAAATCTCTGGCAAAAAAAAAAGGAAAAGAACATCAGAGCATTTTTAGGTTAATATTAACAAGCAAAATACATCAAGAAGAAAAATGAAATACAACAAATACATAAAAATTTGTGTGGATTTTCGGAGCCCACACGCCCACCATTTCCACCTTTCCCGTGCCATCATCAACCCATAGCCTCCTGCATCCACCAACTCCATCCCCAACAACTCAATGATCTGGTTGGAAATGAAATTGTGGGTTGCCCCACTATCAATCAACACCACCACCTCACGGTCAGCTATCTCTCCTTTCACTTTCATAATGTGACTCGGAGTGAATCCCACTACAGAGTTCAGAGAGACTTCTGCCACATCCATGTGCAGCTTCTCCTCCTCCTCCTCCTCAGATCTACTCCCACCTCCCTCATCGTCTTCCTCATCTTCACAGACAAGGAGAACCTGAAGAGTTCAGTCCTTGCACCTATGCCCCGGCATGTACTTCTCATCACATCTGAAGAACAACCCCTTTGCCCTCTTGTCCTGTATATCCTTCTCTGTCAGCTTTTTAAATTGTCCACCATTTCCCCCTCCAGTTTTCTCCTTTGGCGCTTCCTTCAGACTCCCTGGCGCTACCCCTTTTGATGGTAAGAAGGTGGTAGTCATCTTGTATGATCCCCCTGAATAGTTTCCTCGAGCTCCTCTTTCTGATTTCTTCTGATCTTACACCAATTGTGCCAGCTCCATAGTCATCTCTAGGTTCCTCGGCTCCAGCACCCTAACTGCTATTCGTAGCCCTTTCATGAAGTTCCCTTCTAGAGCTGACTCTGAAATGTGATCCAACCTGCTAGCCAAGTACTCAAACCTGTCCCGATAATCTGCCACAATCACCTCCTGAGTCAGGACAAATAATTGCTCATAGAAGTCTCCTCTCCCATCGGCTCGGAAACACTCTAATAAGCAATCTTTGAACTATCTCCAGCTCCGGATGGGCTCCCTCCTATCACGCCACTGATACCATGCCAAGGCTTTTCCTTCCAGACACAAACGCGCCGCTATCAACTTTTCATCCTCTGTCAACCCATTGACAGCAAAGTATCGCTCCACCTTGTAGATCCAGCAATGACCGTCTTCACCCTCAAAGACGGACATCTTCAGATTCCTCACCCGTTGGTCTCCCCCGTGTCCCCTGAATCCTCCATAACCTCCCATTCCTCGAAGATGTTGTGCTCCCTAACTGTCACGATCCTCACTCCGGCGATTATACCCGAACCCCTCATCAGATTATACCCTCTTCAACTTTCAAAATCAGCACCCCGACGATGAAAATCTTCCCTTCAAAATCAGCACCCTCTTCTCCCTTCATTTCCCAAACTCATCTCCTCTCTAGAAAGTGGCTCTAGAGGTGGCATGCCGTCCTCCCCCTCAATGAACTCCACTTCCGGATTTCTCCTCCCTCTAAACGAGTTCAGATTCCCTCCTACAACATGACCTCCGGTGGTCTCTCTCGCTTCCGATGTCGTAGGATTGATCTTCAACTCCAGCAATTTCTTCAGCATTTCTTCCATCACCGTGAATTTCTCTTCTATCCTTTCGTTGTTGGAGGTGATTTGAGTTTGAAAGGCAAAGAACTTTCCCTCCAAATATGATTTCAGTTGACCAATCTCGTCTTCCAAAACCTCTACCTTCTTCCCAGCCATCTCTCTTCCCAAGAATCACGAAGATATTCTTCCGGAAAAAAAAAATATCCCACTAAAATTTCAGATTTTCAGCCACCGAGGGTCCCAAATCGACGCTCTGAAACCAATTTGATAGGAAATACTTGAGTTTGCAAGTAACCCTAACCCAAATCGGAGATCAACAGCGAAAAGATTGCTGTCCAGAACATAAAAAATAGCAAAAAACTGCTGTTTACAACAGAAAAACAACACCAATCCAGGGAAATCTGAGAGAAAACTCAAAGAAAAGCTTGTACTCCACTAGATGATGAATAAAACAACAAAGATACAATTTGTTTTTCAATCCGAGAGAAAGAACAACTCTCCAATCTCCGGCAACGCCAAGAGCCCAAAGCAAGAAACCCTAGATCTCAAAAGTACATTCAAATTCAAGATGAAACCTAATTCCCTCATTACTCCCTAATTAAAGCTAAAGGAAAGATACAAATTCCCTAAACACCCTTCTAATTCACATTTTCCCTCCAAACGAAGTGTTTAACGCATGCTTGGGCCCACCCAAACTTCCGCCCCCTCCTCTGCTTGGTTCCGCCCGGCCTTGGCCCGTCGGGTGTAGAACCGGAGCGGTCTAGCTGGGATCGGTCCGAGCGTAACAGCTATCTTAGGGATGTCAATAAATGACCCGACTCAAAAAATCCATGCTCAAGTTAAACGGGCTATATTTGGGTTATATGTGTCATGATGATCTAAAAAATTGCATGAGTATACAATAAATGCGTCAAACAAGTCAGGTTCTAGTTAGTCTTATTTGAGTTGAGTTCGGTTCAGATTAACAAGAAACAATCCATTTCTCTAATAAAGAGCCAATAGTTTACATTTTGAGACATTTACATTATATTGAAGTATCTCAATTATAACCAAATGCATAACTAAATCGTGATTCAAGTAGCCAATATTTAAAAGGATAGCATTCTGATTTTTCTTTTCAGCGGAGGGTATATTCAACTTACAGGAGGTTGAGACTCGAGAAGGCTTTGACGAAAGAGGGGATCTCTCCAGTTATTCCACAGTTCCTTAAGATTCTGCACCATCATAGTTCAGAATGATAATCCCTCAAAAACTAAAAAACCAAAAAAAAACATAGTTTGGCCGCATGAAAAAGCTAAAGAAACAAAAGCTTACAGGTATTGCAACTGTTGCATACCCTCCAACTGTGGAAAAGCAGAATTTTCAGTAATATCACTGATTCGCCTGCAAAGTGTGAGCAATAAATATCATTTTAAGTATATAAAAAGGTTCAATATTTGTGATATATGTCAAGTAAGGTGAAATATATTAATGTAATGCACATAGAATAATGTATAAGAGAATCACTGCGTACAAGTCATTTAAGTTCTTTAAAAGTGATATTCCAGTAGGAATAGGTCCTTGAAGACCACTTGCTTGAAGATCCCTGCAAGCCACTAAATTTATGGAGGATTAGTATAAGATTAGCATTGCTAAAATCATTCTAAAATGCTGAAATATGGCTTCAGCTAAATAAAGATGAAATGCTAACATTATCCGAATCTGTGTCCAATTTCCAAGGAACTGTGGTATTTTTCCTGAGAAGTTGTTACTGCCAATCTGACTGCAATGCAATTATCTCCCAATAAATGCTGGTCTATTGGAATTAAAATATTTCAAAATTCATGTGAAAGTTTACCACTTACAAGTGTTGCAAATTTGTGAGGTTACAAAAAGTGTCAGGCAATTCTCCAGAAAATCCATTTGCGGAGAACTCACTGTTCCATCAGAACGTTAATTACCAATATGTACACCGAATATGAATTTCATATGAACTAAATCAAGGAAGGAGAGTGTTAGACTGGTCCCTAGTGGACCGGCCCAACCCCGACTGACCTCTTTAAAGAGGTCGGTTCTTTGCTACAGGAGTAGGGGCAGCGGCATAAGGAGAGAGGAAGGAGTGGGGCCCACCAGGGATTCAAATTCAAAAGAATTGGAAGCAAAGTAGGGGGGGCGGCAAGGACAATGGAGTAATTTGGCTTCAAATAATTAATTGTAATCTTTAAGTATGGGAGGAGGGAATAGGGTTAGGGTTATGCAAGATTATTGTTTCTTTTGAAGTTCTCTTTGGTGTCTTAGGCTTTAGGATTTTCGTCTAGAAATTGGGAGAGAACGATCCTCCTCTCAAATTGAGGATCAATTGTATCTTTGTTTCGTTCTTGCTTCACTTTTATTTCTATAAAATTATCTACTGATTTTGATTGCTTCCACCCAAGTTCTTCTATTTTTCTCGCTGATTTTAACGATTATTGATAGGTTTGCTTGCGAACTCAAGTATTCCCATTAGGGTTACTTGCGAACTCATGTATTTCCTATCAAAGACCAAAAGAATATCCAGAAGACTCACAGTTTTGTTAAGTTTCGGAGATAGCCCAGCTCCTTTGGAAGAGGACCTGTAAATAGATTTGCTTCTAGTATTCTGGCCAAAGAGGATAGAGAAACTATAGTCATCAACTTGCAAAACAAGATAACAAAGTAAGAAGAGTATAAGTAGAATCAAGATACAAATGTTGAAGTGTTGTTATTTTTCCAATCCATGATGGAATTTGGCCTGAGATACTATTTCCACGAAGAGAACTGCATTATAAATTTCACTGTTAGTCAACAAAAGCCCAGCAAGTTCCTGCATGCATGGGTTCAGATAACCTACAAATTCACCAGAGGAAGAGTTGCCCATTCATCAGGTATTGTACCACTAAGGAAGTTGCGGGAGAGATCACTGTGCAAAAATATGAGTTTCCGTTAGGTAAATATTTTAGACAAAGGTTAGTCAGACTGATCAATGAATAATCCTTTAGGGAGGCATACATTTCTTGGAGGAATGGAAGTAAGGCCATTTCACGTGGTAGGGTCCCCATAAGTTTTTGTTCCTTGAGCACACTGCAAGTTCGAAACGGTACAAGGATTTAATAAAGGAGAAAAACAAATGAAATCAATTTTGGAAAGCACCAAGAGCTTCTAATGATGAAGCTTCAATTGGAACATAGTACTCAACAAATGTTTTCATGAGATCCTAAATTATCACTGATATATCATCAAAAAATTATCTTGATTAGGCACGAATCTTGAGGGAAAATTAAGTTGGAAACTTTCGAAATTAAATTCATAACTATATGAACTCTAACTTTAGCAAACTTACAGTCAAACTGAACGTCTTGAAAACATGAACCCAACGACACCAAATTCGACCCAATCTGAGCCCAAATGGGTCCAAATCGAAGACCCGGAGCGCATTTGGAAAGTTCGAACCATAAATTGGATGACCAAACAGTTTCCAAATGTGACATGCTTATAGTCGAATCGAGCAGCTCAACGAGACGAATACAATGAATCCAATATCGTGAAATCCTGACATCACTAAGGCATTGAAATGCTCGGTAAACGATCAACGCTCAATGGGATCAATATCAATCGTCCATTAAAACCAATCCCAACATATACTTGATCTTCCTCTTATTTAATGGTCATGCCACTCTCAAAAAATTATGAATAGACCCCTTATTCCTCATGAAAATGGAGATGAAGCAAGAGAGGAAGGGGGGGAGCAAGGAAGAGAAGGAAGGAAGCAAGAAAAATCTAAGTTCTCCTGCCACTAGACTTTTCATCGACCACTGTCGGGCCACCGACTGACGCCGGACTTCTTCCTGGCCACCGAATGTCACCAGACTTACTCCCAGCTATCGATTATCGTCGGAATCCCCCCCCCCAACAACTGTCGCCAAGCAACGGTTCTCCCGACTTCCATCACTAGACAATGGTCTTTTTGACCACTGTCTCCCGCCGATTACAATCCTTCCAACCTTCGTCACCAGACAATGGTCTTTCTGACCATTGTCGCCCGCCGAATACAGTCCTTCTAGCCTCAATCACCAGACTACGGTATTCCCGACCTTCGTCTCCAGACAACAATTTTTCAAACCACTGTCGCCCTCCAATTACCATCCTTCCGACATCCGTCACCAGACAACGATTTTTCTGACCACTGTCACTCGCCGACTACGGTCCTTCTGACTTAGGCTGCCAGACAACGGCCTTTCTGACCACTATCACCCACTAACTATGGTCCTTCCAACCTCCGTTGTCAGACTACGGCCCTTCTACCTCCGTCGCCAGACAACGGTCTTTCTGACCATTGTTGCCCGCCGACTACTGTCCTTTCGACCTCCATCACCAGACTACAATCTTTCTGCCCATTATTGCTCGTCGACTACAGTCCTTCCGACTTCCGTCGTGAGACAACAGTCTTTCTAACCACGGTCAGCCGCCGAATGTGGTCCTTCCAACCTTCGTCGCCAGACTACGGTTCTTCTGACCTCCGTCGCCAGACAACAGTCTTCCCGACCTTTATCGCCCACCGACTAGAGTCCTTCCGACCATCGGCAACCAATTACAATCTTTCGAACCTCCATCGCCATTCAACTATGGTCTTGCTGACTAAACGAAAATGTTAGTACTGACTATTCCATTTTACACAATGTAATGCACTCTATATGTTGCATGTTTGCTATTTCATACCAAGGCCTCCCCCTAAGGAAGTGCCTCATTGGTAATTGGCTGCAAACACTAGTGGATTCATTCAAATTAGGATAGGCCCCGTGGTTTTCCCCCTTTTTGTTTGGGTTTCCACGTAAAAATTTTGGTCTCTTATGAACGCTACACCCCCTCTTTTATCTGATTATGTGATGGATCTTTGTAAAAAGCTAAGACGTTAAACTTTACATTTATTTATCGCTGTGAATTTTCGAGGACACAACAGATCACGTTGAATATTCTCTAAACCCTCCTTTAATGAATCTTCAAATTCATAAGACAAACTTGATTTCCGTGCATGTTACCACACAATCTATCACAGATGTTGACGTTGAGCGAGTAAGTCGGATTTGTTCTATCTCAAGAAGTATATCAAGAACATCCATGTACTTATCTATAAATGAAATCAAAATGCTCAGAAAGGAAAAAAATATGCATTTACACTTAGAAGAATAGAAACATGTGTGAACAGCAAGAAATTTCCAAACTCACATGCTTGTCACATGGCAGATGCTCCCATCGTTATTGCAATTACTGCACCGGACATTTGCAACATTCGCTTTTCCCATTGCAAAATTCTGAGAGACCCAACCAGCTTCTTGACTGCACGGGTCTACACTGAAGTTCCAGTAAGTTTTGTTCAATACCTCGGCGATGCGTTTGAGGGCTTCAACTGAACATATAAAAGAAAATAAAACAAGAATAAGATAACTACGGACAAGAAAAAAAAAAAGTAATCTTGGAAATCTTCTTCCACGTTGGAACTAAAAATAAACTGAAATAAGCAGGAGTTTCACAGCAAGCTTAAAGAAAATTACAGAGAACCTTGAAATGAGCTATAACTGAATGAAAATTCTTACAAAAAGTTTTTAAAAAAGTTTATAACTCAATCTTCTAGACGGATTAACTGACCAACCACTTGTGGGCATTACTTCAAACATTTGATATGCGGCTTTAGTATGACAAGAAGCAGCAAGTTACAATCTTTAAAGCAAATTCAACAGCAAATATAGCTCAGCTAACGCGGGCAGTAGCGCTTACTCTCTTCCGGAGGCAGGAGGGTTGATAGAGACAATGCCACGGGAAGCAACGCAGATATCACTAGAAGAGAAAAAAGAAGCTTTTCTGGGCACATCTCCACTTCAGAGTAATTTCAGAAGATTTTTCTGAAGCTGCTGCTTGTCTCATGACGCTCATGTAAGGGGGTGCCAGCTTTCAGTTGTCGACGCCGGTGGACTAGTCGTCCCAGCGTTTTTCCTGGGCAAAATTTTGGACTTGGTCAGTTTTTTAAATTTTATGACTTAATTCATATTGTAATTTCATTTAATGGTGAACCACTACAACTAGGCAGTAACTCAATATTGTAGGATGCTATTTTCTCTCTCTAAATTTTCTTAGATGGGCATATATTTTGTTCACTTCCTTGGTGGATATAGCGTGCACAAGTAGTGTCAATAAATAACATGACCAATCAAACTTACTCGAACTTGAACCCGATTCGAAAAATCTAAGTTCGTGCTAACCCGTTTCACAAATGGGATGGGATTATGTTAGGTTTTATGATACGTTTATTAAACGGGTCAAGTTCGGATTGACTCACAAACTCATTTTTGACACGAAAATGACCTGTTTAATATTTTTTTTTTCACTTCCTGAGTATAATCTTTTTTTTTTTCATCAAATAAGCTAAACTTTATAGTTAATAAAATATTAAAAAAATTAGCAAAAACTAGTTAACAAGTCGGGTTCAAGTTGGTGTCTTTGATCGGTTATTAAACAAGTCCGTTCAAGTTGATTGTACTTGGGTCAGATTAATTTCGAGTCAGTCCCAAACCCAACCCGTCAATCCCTTTTGACAAACCTGTGGAGTGGACTTCACGCATCCTATGTCAAATCAATTTTAACTCTAACGACCCCACCGTATCTTCCAAATTAATTTAATTTGATATTTGTTTAAGTATATCGGTTCTATAAGCCCCAAGTTTTGACAATTAAACCAATAAAAGCATTTTTAACAATTAAATTGAATTTAATAGCGATTAGAAAATTGTTTTTTTTTATTTTTAAAAAATTATAAAATAGTCCTAATTAAAGTCATCACTATCTATCGATATCGGCAAATTAAATTGATGTCCTTGATTGAACGGCAATCACTCAAAAGTTTTTAAGAGACTTATTATAGGAAGGTCAAAGACTCGCAGTTTTTTTTTTTTTTTTTCTCCAATAAAACAATGTAATTATATTTAAAAAAAAGTGAATAATCTTCTCGTAGAATCTCTCTAAGAACGATAAATAATAATGTTTGAAGATTAAAAGTCTCTTAATAGTCCTTTTAAATTTTAATTGCTTGAAATTAAAATAACTTTCCTCTTATGTGGAAATGAATAGCTCAAATTAATTCAATTAACTAAATCTCTATGTCCCATTTTTATTGCGTCCGGTGAACGTATGTAGAGCTACGTTCAGCCGGCACTAAGATCGCAGGCACAAAACGAGAAATACCGAGCAAATACCGATCAATACCAACAATAACGAGAAATACCATTATGTGAAGACAAAATACTAAGTAATGCCGAGCAATACCGAGTAATCCAAAAAAATACGGAGTTTTTTCTGGAAAAACCCTGTATTTTTTTTGTATTACTCGGTATTGCTCGGTATTACTCGGTATTGGTCTTCACAAAGCGGTATTCCTCGTTATTACCAAACAATACTTAGCAGTACCGACCAAATACCGAGCAAAAACCGAGTAACAATCCTCTGACGAACGTAGAGCTACGTCCGGTCAGAGGACGTAATAAAAGTTCCCCACCGAGGCTTGGGTGGCTGGTGGGCGACCACGGTTGGGAACCTCCCATCCCGGGTTCAAATTCCCTCTATTACGGCCTCGTCTCTTCAGCGGGGCAAAGCAAGTGTGGATTCAATGCAAGAAGGTAGCCGTTTTTGGAAATTTTGGGGCCTAAACCCATCTATTGATTAAGAAAAAATTACAAGTAAAGAAAAACCAGCCCCTAAACAAAACCAGGGGAGGACAGAAATAAAAGTAAAATTACATAAAAAAGGAAAAGCTATACCACCCAAATACACCCAAAAGGTAACAAAATTGTGGTATACAAAATTGATCATGACTCAGTTATTAGCTGCAGCGATGTTTGAACGGGACGTAGTCATCAGATAGATCATCAAAAACCCCTGGTTGCCTGTGAAGACCCTCCAAGGGGCAGTGCTGCAGCGGTCATCATTGTCCTGCAAAATTTGTCTGAAATAACAAAAAAAACAGTCACCCTGGTTGCTGAATGGCCATCCAGGAAGACACCAGCAAGAAAGGTAGCACCCAACCAGTCTAGCCAAAAATAACAGCATCGGTTCCAGTTCCAGAATACGGATACCAACAGCAACATTCCATAAGAAATAGCCGCAAAACCTCCAGAAACAGATACAGTAAGCACAGGAGATGCAAGAAATTTCTACCATTTTTCCACTTCTCCAACTTTGCAGCTATGGCTTTTTTAATATTTCTACCCACAGTAGTTTGACATTCAATAATGTTGCCAAAAATCCTATCATTACGAGCTCTCCAAATGTAGTAAATAGAAGTGTTAATCACAAGGCAAAAAACATTCAACATCTCATTTGAATCAGATATATCATCAATAAAATCAAAAATCTGGAAAATGTTAGGACAAAATAGTAGTGTTTGAGATTGTGGTATGAGGAGATTCAGGATGCCAAAAGAGAAATCACACTCAAAGAAGAGATGCGAATGAGATTCTCTACAATCCTGACAGAAAATGCAGCAGTTGTTCATCATAATACCACGTTTTAGCAAAATGTCCGCAGTTTTTAGCCCATTATTAACAGCCAGCCATCCAAAAGAGGAGAACCTAATAGAGGAATTTTTATGCCAAACAAAACGATGCCAACTCACCACCGGATGCTGTTTAAAAATTTCTTTGCTAAAAAATTTATTCGAAACTTTCACAGAGTTGTTCCACAAACTACCACAATCAACATTCCAGATAGGCACGGAGGCAATCATATTCTTAATATTAGAAGGCCAAGACTCAGGGCCTCCCAATTGCCATCAGTGATGATATAGGTAGTGAATTTCCGGTATAAAGGTTCCAGCCAACTACAATCATTGTTTAAATCAACTAGTTCAGAAAGAGATTTGCCAAAGCATCAAGGATCCCATAAAAGGGAGTAGTTGCAGTTAGGATGAATCCTTAGCTGCAAACAATGTTTAAGCTGGTGCGCATTATTGCTGAGGTGTTTCCAGTAAGGAGAGCTATACTTTGGATTAGGGGACCTTAGGGAATTATACATATTACGCTAGCAGTCAAAAAGCTGCCCATTATTATTCAGAAATCTCCAAATCATTGAGCAGTTGAAAGTAAAAGATAAGGAATCAAGGGAGGGTAACCCAAGACCCCAATTAGCTTTAGGAATACAAGTGTCTTTCCAGGCAATCAGCTGAAGCTTTCTCACAGCAATGTCACGTCCAAAAAGAAATCTGGAACAAAGTTTGTTTAGTGTTTTTAAACAGTATTTGGGTAGAATAGATCCCCTAATCCAGTAAGCAATAGTGTTGAAAAATATCTATTCTAAAAAATTGCTTTATAAATTAGTAAAAAGGCTATCCCAAATAAAGTCTTTGCATGTCTTTTGCAATGTAGGGCTCCTTTATTTCGCAGTTGTTATCCCTTTGTCATCTCTTCCTACAACTTTTCGATGGACAAATGCCTTTTGTGCCCAAGGTGGGATTTGGCGTCGAACTGAACCGTGATGAATGAAAGATACATTCGTGAGTTGTCTTTCTATTGGATGGCCTTCATGGCAATGAGAGAATCTATTTAAGCTGGTGCAATTCTCTTCAAAATATAGTAATAATCACATCAAAAGCGAATTGCATTTGTGAATATTTTCATTGTCATCTCCTTTTTATATTTTTTTTAATAATACATTTACATTTATAAATTTTTCAAAAGCGAATTGCATTTGTGAATAGTCTGACACCAATTTCACGTCACAAGAACGTCGTTGAAATTCGTGTTTGGGTGAAGCTGGTGGCGGACAGCAAAGACCCATTTAACATTCAGTTGGAGATGGTCGTGGACGGAGAAGTTATTATGTGCGTACGCCGAATGCAGCCTTACATCCCGAGACCAACTAGAATGAGCCACGTCAATAATAACGAGCGTGGTACCAAGCAGTATCGAACAATACCAAACCAAGATACCGACATAATTCATTCTGATTAATCTTCGATCGATGTTCTATGCCGTGGACACGCCATATTGGACGATAGACTAAAGTTTGGCTCAAAATATAGGAGATTTTATGAATTAAATCAGACGGCAGAGACGGTCGATGAGACTTCTTGTTCCCTAACTCGGTTTCCAAAGTTGAAAGTGGAGTCGTCCGATCAAAGTCCTTTTTCGAAAAGAACGGTCATCGAAATCAACGTTCGGCCCAAAATGGCGGGACCGTTTTCCATAAAAACAAAAAAAGTGCAAATAGTGAGATTTATGTTTAATAACGAAAGAAGTGAAGGTGCAAAAAGCTAAAGTGGCCTCCCCTTTTGCCTCTCGGGTGTAAGCTCTCTCGTACGAAGACCTGCTCGCACGAAAAGTCTGGCAAAGAACGCACTCACACTGAACTTTTCAGTCCGCCCCTTCCATTCGAAATTTTTTAAAGTTTAAATTATTTTTCTGTTTTGCCAAAAAAAATCCAATTTTTTATTTGTAATTTGTAAATATAAAAATATATATTTGTTAAATAAAATTTTAATATGTATAAGAAATAATAGGAGATTAATTAATATGATGAATGAATAAATGAATTCTCATTAGATAAAAATAATATAAAAAATTATGAAAAATATATTTAAAACTCATGAAATGTATGGGTGTAAAAAAGAATTGGGTTCAGTTGTGACACGAAATTGGCCTGATCCGAATTCAGTCAATCCGACCAAACTCAAACCCAATTTGATAAATCATTTTAACTAAAAAAAATATATTTTATTAACTTATTAATTATTGGTTTTAACTTAATTGATAAAAATAACAAAAAGTTATATTAAAAATTTAAAGAAGTTGAGAAAAAAATATTTAATTGGTATTTTTTGGATTAAATCGATTGGTGGTTGATTCAAATTCAACTCGTTTATTAAACTAGTCAGTTCGAACCTGATTTTTTTAGTTGTGAGAATATCATTATATATTTATTTTTAACATAAATGCAACATAATTTTTTTTAACAAAATTTTAAAAAAATTTGTAAATATGCAAAATGTCCTCTACCCACTAGGGGTGTCAATTTTTGACACGACTCGAAAAACGATCGGACCCGAAGCGGGTCGGGTTCGGGTTGACCCAGCAACCTAAAAATAACTCGAAATTGACACGAAAACTCCTATTTGACACAGAAACCAGAGATTGACCCGAAAATTGAAGATTGACCCAATTTTTTACCCAAAAACTAGAAATTTTAGATTAACTCCATGTCGGTTCGGGTTGACCCAGACCCGAATCGGGTCAGGTTCGGGTTGACCCGAACATGGCCGGATCAGATCCGGGTTCGACCCGAATTCAATCCGTTGACCCGAATTGACACCCTTACTACCCGCCCCAAAGGTTTCCTTCTCTTTGGAGGAAGTGGATTCAAAGCCATGTGATTGTTTACTTTCGGCTCAATATTCTAAGGAGAAATAAAAAAAATGCTAAAAGAAAAAATAAATACTAGGTTTTAATATTCTAATTAAAATTTAATTAATTTAAAAGAAATATAAATTATGTAAGATATTATTGTGCAGATTATATCATTATGAATTTTAAAATTATTTAATTATCTTTGAATATATAAAGCTAGTTAAAAAAATATATAAATTTTAAACCAATTAATAATTATAACATAATTTATATTAGGAAAAATTTTAATATATTTTACATTAGAAATAATTTTCAGAACTATCAAATTTACTTTTTATAACGTTTCTGAAAGTGACACTCACTGTGTCCAAATGCTGCTGGATCTGCTTTTAGTATTTTTTTCCTTAAATGAGTAAAACATGCTGGCCTAACTATAAAGGCCCGCGCAGCCCACCACTTAGTAACTGCTGCTGCCTCTTCACAACCGCTTCTTCTTCTCCCTCCAATTATTTTTAAAATAGCTCCGGGGAAGAAGATGAAATGGGGAAGGAAGAACAGAGACAGAACCGAAGGGGACAAGAAAACGAAGAAAGCCACTTCCCCTTTCTCGTCCTCGCCGTCGTTTCAGCTCACGGATGTCTTCCCCTTTTCCTGGATTTCCCGACTGAAGCGAGAGAAACAGGGCAGAGTAAACCTGAAACAATTTCCTCCCACCTCCTCCTCCCACCTCGGTTTCTCCTCCAAACTCCTCGACCGCATCGCCGCCAGCGAAGCCCCTCGCCGGCGTTCAACGGGAGACGACGAACGCCGCGGAGACAGAGCCGACATTGCTCGCTCTGCCCGCCATTATTCTTTCAGCGAGCTCGAGCTTGAGCTCCGGCCAATCTCAAGCTTCCGCCATTATGACGCTTATCCTCCGCCGCCGACGCCGATGAAGCGATTGGAGGCTCGACGGCGGGTGCCGAGGATACGGCCAAAGGTGAAGGTTTGCTCGCCGAAGGCGGCGAGGAGAAAGGTGGAAGAGGAGGGGAAGGGGAAAAGGAGGAATCTTGAGAGCTTTGCGGTGGTGAAGAGCTCGAGTGACCCGCAGAAGGATTTCAGGGAGTCAATGGTGGAGATGATAAGGGTGAATGGGATGAGGCGTCCGGAGGAGATGGAAAGATTGCTGGCTTGTTATATTAGCCTCAACGCCGACGAGCATCATGATTTCATCGTCAAAGCTTTCAGGCAGGTTTGGTTTGATCTTGCAATAAAGAAGTTCGCCGGAGAATGCCATTGTCGTGACTGTTTCTGAGCAAGAGAATATCGCATGGATTTTATGAAAAGCTGTTTGGCTACTTTGCGTTTAGTACCGAGCTCTGCATCAAAAGTAGTAAGTGCGTTCTCGTTGGTTGAATTTATTTCATGGGATCTATGAGAAAAAATTTTGTAATAATATTCTGATCAGTGATGGAGCTTAAAAAAGATTGTTATTATTTAGCTCAATTAGGATAAACTTACATAAGATTAAAACTCCTGATCTTTTAATTGATAATCAAAAGACCTATTTTTAGTTTAAAATTTCAAAAAAATTAATATGCTTATGTATAATATAAAAATTAAATTTTAATTTTTATTAAATATGTAAAATAAAACATTTGTTCTCCTTAAAATTTGGGCAAATTTTGAAAAGAGAAATTATATAGAAACTATTTTTTATATTTTTTTTATATACGTAACACAAATGTCTGAGTCACAATAAAATAAATCTATTAAAAATATTTATTAAAAATAGCTAATGATATGTCATCAAAAAATTATCTTGATTGGGCACGAATCTCGAGGTTGAGCGTCTCAATAATACAATGACTTCAGTAGTCTAAAATACCCTCACAAAAAATATAGGGGGCAATATATCAAAGCATATCTCAAATATGCATAAACAAATCAATTTTCTCTGAGAGACAATTTTTTAATTTCATATACAATGAAGTTACATAAATCCAATATCAATACTCAAGTGTACATATATTCTCACTAGAAGCTGAAATTAAAAGTACAACTGCATCATGTGTACAAGTTATAATCATCAAATAACTTCAAAAAGAATGCAACTGGACCACCGTCATCATCAGCCCTTCGCCCGATGTTAACCGTCGATCCTTTACTTTATATCAATCATCGTCGACTTCTCGCTCAAACTATTGATAGTAGCACATCATTCAATTCTCTCCTTCAGCTCTCCACTCGGTCATTGACTGCCAACAAACTTCCCCTTGATCGTCCATCATCGACGAATTTCGCTCAAATAGCATCGAAATTCTCTCTGTCTACTCATCACTTATGGTTCTCCTCCAGTACACTATGAACGACAAATCTTCTCAAATCACCCTCGCATACAAACAACAATTGATCTTCTTCTATTAAGAGTTGTTTATTAAGAAGATAGCATATCATCTTAACTTTTTCTACATAAGAGAGGGGAACTGAAGCTTGATAGGGGAATGCCGCATATCTCTGATAGTGGAATGCCTCCAATGTAAGAAGAACAATGCAAGAGAAGAACAATGAGCAAAAATCATAACTTTTACACATAGAGAGGGGTCCTGAATTTAGTAGGGGATGTTGCCTACAACAAATATGGGAATACCTCAACTATAAGAAAGTTAGAAAGAGGGCATATAAAGAAAAGAAACGGCTGCAAAAAGGCTAATTTCTATAACAGAGAAGGGGTGCCGATTTTAGTAGGGAAAGTCATCTACGAAAAATAACGGAATGTGATCTCGACTGTAAAAAGATTAACAGAGAAGAAGATAGTGGAAGGAGAAATTTTTTTTCTTCTACGCTGAAGAGGGCGCCGATTTAAGTAGGGAAAGTCACCTATGAAAAAATAGCGAAAAGCCTCTAGAGTAGGAAGTAAAACGAGGGAGAAAGAAGGAAAAATAAGATAAAAATCTAACTTCTGTACAAGAGGAGGGGCGCTAAATTAAGTAGGGAAAGTCACTTACATAAAACAGCGGAATGACTCCACTGTAAGAAAACTAGAAGGAGAAAAGAAGAAGGTGCAAGTTTCCCCTTGACCTTGTGGGGTTTTTATAATTTTTTGGGACGAAAAAAATATTCTGGAATTTTCCTAATTTTTTTTCAAAAATTTTTGGAATTTTTTGAAAGTTTTCGGATTTTTTTATTAAAAAATTTTATCTGGACCCCACCGAAAAAAATTCAAAATTTGGCTAACCGCCGGCGGTAGGCGGCGGGCGTCGGTCGGCGAGCCGACTGGCTAGTTCGGCCGCCTACGTCTGTCCAGACCTGATTTTTGACCCAGGTGGTCAAAATCGGATGTTTTTTGGGGTCCCCGGATACATTTTTTAACGTTCCGAACTCAATTTTGATACTTTTGGAGCTCAACAGGGTCTCTATGATTGAGTTTGAGCAAGTTTATATTTTATGGAGTGTAATTTTTGGCGATTCAATCAAATTGAAATGCCGGGGAATATATTATCGGACTCATGGAGCTTCGACGTCCGAAAATAGGGGGCTACTGATATGTTATCAAAAAATTATCTTGATCGGGCACGAATCTCGAGGAAAAAATCAAATTTGAAATTTCAAAAATTAAATTCGGGATCATCTTAACTCCGATTTTGGTAAACTTATAGTCGAACTGAGCGTCTCGAAAATACAAACCCAATGACACCAAATTTCAACTTGATACGAGCTTTAATGGCTCCAAATCAAAGACCCAAAGCACATTTGAACGGTTCAATCCATAATTTGGATTACCAAACAGTTTCCAAACATGACATCCTTATAGTCGAATCGAGCGGCTCGATGAGATGAATCTAGCGAGCCCAAGATCGTCAAATTATGATATCATTAAGACCTTCAAATGTCTGACGAACGGTTCACGATCAAAGGATTCAATATCGGTCATTCATTCGAACCACTCCACATTTGCCCTTGATCCTCCTCCTATTTACGGGTCATCTCATCTTCAAAAAATTATAAATTGCCCCTCGTTTCTCTTGAGAGGGGTCCCCAAGCAAGAAGAAGAAGAGAAGAATAGGAGGGAAGAAACTCCTCCTCAACCACCATTGAAGTTATGTCCGACATCCAAGTGACATCGAAATTCTGCCTGACGCCCAAGTGAAGCTGGAATTCTGCCCATGAAATGCCAAAATTCTGCCCAAATGATGTCAGATTTCCGTCCGACTTCCAAGTGACGCCGGTACTCTACCCGATGCCAAAATTCTGCCCAAGCGAAGCCGAAATTTTTCCCAAGTGACACCAGAGTTCCATCTGACTTCCAAGTGACACCGGAATTCTGCCCGACTTGCAAGTGACGACAAAACTCCACCCAATCTCCAAGTAATGCCAGAGTTATCCCTAGCCACCGATTAATGTCAGACTTATACTCGACGCCAGACCTCTGCTCGTCATTAGATTTCTACCCGATGTCGAACTTCTGTTAGTTGTCAAACTTTTGTTAGACATCTATCTGATGTTGGATTTCTATTCATTACTAGATTTCTATTTGAAGTCCTCATTCTAACTTTCGTTGTTAGACAATGATCCTTCCAACCTCCATCGCCCGTCGACTATGATCCTCCTGACTTACGTCGCCTACCGACCACAGTCCTTCCAAGCTCCGTCGCCGGTCAACTACAATCCTCCTGACTTACGTCGCCCACCGACCACAGTCATTCCGACATTCGTCGCCCGCCAACTACGGTCCTCTTGACTTATGTCACCCACCGACTACAGTCCTTCCGACCTTCGTCGCCCGCCGACTATAGTCCTTCCGACCTCCGTCATTAGACAACGGTCTTTATGACCTTCGTCGCCCACCGACTACGGTTCTTCTAAGCCTTCATCACCATACTATGATCCTTGTGACTAAACAAACACGTCAATAGTGATTCTTTGTATTCCTATCATGTAATGTACTCCATATGATGTACATCAAGTAAGACATTAAATATTATATTTCTCTACCGCCATGAATACTCCAGGATGCAACAACTAATATTAATGAGATTTTTTTTTGTTAAAAAATTAACATTATATAAATAAGTATTGAAATTTAAAAATTAGATATGTAAAATACATCTATTTTTTAGTGATATATTTTGTTATCCATTTCACTTAAAATTCTAATTCTAATTTTAATTCTTATAGATTTTTATATGATGACTTAAATAAAATGTGATGACGACATATTTTTTAAAAAAATATTGTCATGTTTCTCTAATATGTTATGTCAAAAATAATGTTGTTTCCTGGAAAATTTGTGGCGATAGAGAATGATATAATTTAGCATCTTAGTTTTATACGAAAATCAAACACACAAACAGATAAGCAAGTATGATTAAAATGTTTATAAGAGACACCAGAGTTTTTATGTGAAAACCCCTGAATATGAGAAAAATCACGAGGCTTGGTCCAGTTTGAATGGCTCCACTAGTGTTTGTAAGTGATTACAAATAAGACCCTTCCTTAGAAGGAAGGTCTTTGCTCAATGTAGCAAATATACATCATGCATAGTGCATTATATACTAGGAGTTGCAAGAATCAATGTTGATATGTTCTTTTGGGTGGTAGGATCATAGTCGTTGAGCAATATAGGTCGGAAGGACCACAATCGGATGATAGAGGTTGGAAGGACCGTAGTTGGATGATAGTTGACGAAATGATCGTAGTCGGGCGACGCAGGTCAGAAGGATCATAGTTGGCAGGCAACAGAGGTCAGAAGGACCATAGTCGACGGGCAACGTAGGTAAGGAGAACCGTAGTTGAAGTCCGGCGGTGGTCGACGAATGGGGAGAAGTCGGGTAGAGGTTGACGATTGGGCAGAAGTTTGACGGTGGTCGGGAAGAACTCTGACGGTGATCGACGAACGGGCAGAAGTCCGATGACGATCGAAAAGAACTCTGGCGGTGTTTTGTGGACTGTCAGAAGTTCTTCGGTGGCCGGTGGACGGCTGACTGGCGGAAGTCTGATGGTGGTTGGTGGATTAGCGGAAGTCCGTCGGTGTTTGGAGGACTGGCGGAAGTCTGTCGATGGTTGGGAAGAACTCTGGCGGTGATCAGTGAACGGGCGAAAGTCTGACAATGGTGGTGAAGAACTCCATCGATGGCCGATAGACATATGAAAGTGGTCGGGAAGAGTTTTGGCGGTGGTCGGCGGAAGCAAGTTCCCAAATTCTTCCCTTCTCCTCCCCTTCCTCCTTTCATTCCCCTTGAGAAGAGTGGGGGCTATTTATAATTTTTTGAGAGTGACATGACATGTAAATATATGGAGGATCAAGATCAAAAT